TCTCATTTCTGTGTTGGTTAATGTCCTTTCACATCTTTAGAAGAAGCCTCTTCTAAGCTCTTGTCATCAGAAAAAGAGCACAAGAAAGTGTTTTATGGACTAATACTGTTTTCATTTCTTGAGAAGTTGCTGAGTAACCAACTGATAGGGGTACAATTACTTCAAAGCCAGCTGTGCATGGGAAAATGCAGGTTTATCAGGAGAAAAATTTGTATTTCTTCCAAACATTACGTGGGGGTGGTTAGTGAGTGCATCATTCCTGTTCTCTGCACAGGGTAAGGGTGATGCTGATGACTTCTCTCAGCAGCTTTTGTGTTATTATTTTTTTTTCCCTGAAAAGTCTTTGCCTAACATATTTTATAAATCTAAATTTAAAAGTTGGACTTTCTGTAATTCATTTATGTCAAACACTGCACCCCACCTCTAGCAAAATATCTTCTCTTTTACTAAGTGTAGGGAGAAAATGCCAGATACAAGGACTATCCAGATGGTGGTTTCCTCTGAACTTCTTTCAAGAGTATTTGTGGCACTTCCAGCTTTACCCTGCCTTAAAGGTTAGGATAGAATGATACTGAACGTGTTGGTAGCTCCTGTTAGATAACATGCTCTCCACAAAATGAAAAGGACTGTTTTTCCTCCAGCTGCCTTGTGCCTCCTCTCTGACACATTCACTGCTCACAGGTAAAATAAAGGGGTTTTCTACTCTCGCCCCAATGAGAATTCATTGAGATGACACAAACGCACTGTATGTCCAGGCCCGATGTGCCTGCTGCTGGGGCTGGTGAAAATACTGTAAGGGGATGCAGCGGGAGCTGAGCCAGGCCTAGCTCTCTTCTGGTTACACAAATTGTGGGATGAAGGTCCATGTCTCCCAGGAAACCAGCTTGCCACACCTGCTAGATTCACTGCTAGATATCATGCTACAGCTTGAAATGAATGGTATTTAGGCTACGACCAGGGACGATACAGCTGCTTAAAATGGCAATGTCGCTATTACTTGTGACCCATGGTCTTGTGACTTGTTTTCTGAGAGTCACAGTTTCTGACACCATAGGAGTATATGAAAGTCTTAGGTCTCCTGTTACAAAAAGTAGCTTCTTAGCTCCCTATTTTGGGGGTAAAAAAGCTAGGAAGTGTAATCAGAGCACCCTGAAAGCCAGCAGAAACTGATTTGTATGCACCTGGCACATAATTGACTTCAGCTTGTAACCTCTGAGCCCTGCTGTGCCCTTTGCTAGATGCGGGAGGCTCATGTATATGGGCTGGGCAGCAATTTGAGTAGGAGCAATAGCCCCATGAATAAAGCTCCCCTTCTCCCTCCTGATGCTGCTTACCTAATTCCCTCTGCAGGGAGCCTTGGAAAAGATGATGTCCCAGGTGAGTAGTAGCACTACTAAGCTGTTCCCAGGGAAGATAGAGGGACACTTGTTGGGGTGTGAGGGTGGGAGGTTATGTTATTGTTTTAATCTTTCTGTATTTACCTATGTAGAGTCTACAAAACTCCTCATGGCTCCTTTTTCTGATAACCACAAACAAGGAGAGTTTAGGCTGGTGTTTTTCTTTGGTTGTATTTTGGAGTTGTTAGCTAAGTAGGTTTGCCTCTAGTTGAGACACCTACTCCATGCTGGTTTATCAGGCAAGAATCAAGAGCAGGAATCATGCACTGAGCTGTTAAAAAAAAAAAAAAAAAGTGCTGCCATCTCTAGTGTTACCCATAGATATGCATCTAGAGCTTAACCAGGTATGCTATACAGGGGAATTGTGTAATATGCCATTTGGCAGGTATACAAATGCTGCAAGCTGCTACTGATGGAGAAACCTCTCAGGTGTTAGGGTCTCAGCAGTTGCTCGGCTGGGGGTGACTGTCCTCTAGGAAAGAGCCAAGGCAGATCAGATTGGGCCAGTTATTTAGAGCTGCCTCCTTCACAAGGCAATGACTTGATTCTCAGTCTGTCTGTTTATAACCTGCGTGCTCCTCCAGCTCAGGGCTCCCCACTGTCCTGAGGATGCTGCTTCTTCCACAATTCTGCAGTGCAATTGCAAAATTCATTAACTGCAATTCCATTTGCTTATTTTTCCTCCCTTTCCATATTCAACAGCACAAAAACAAGTAAAGGCACGTTTTCCGTAAGTAATTAGCAATGTTAGGTCCCCGCATTTCAATGAACCTAGCCTGAACCCTCTTGAAGATGGATTTTGGCAAGAGCAAAGCACTGGTCACCTGAAAATTGAGACCAGTTGAGATTCACCCTCATGAGACACCCAAATTTTCCAAACACTGTCACAATTCTGCCCTTTAGTTTTTCACTACTTAAAACTTTTTTTTGTCTACATTCCTAGTGTTGGCCCCACTAGTTGTCTTATATTTTTTTAGATCTCTAATATGTTTATTCTAGTAGCTTTTGTTAGGATTTGAGCTTTATCTTCCCTGTTTGAATACTCCTCCCATCCCTGTTCTGTTTTTTTTTTCCATTTGCCAATCTGGGATTCTGTACATTTCATTACCTCTTCCCTTGACTAAATACTGTTATTAAAAATACTGCATTTGGTTTTGTATAATGGTAGATTTTGCTCCTGGAACAACTCTGCCACCTCTCTTTGGCCAAATTACACGTGCGTCAGTTTTATTAATGAAACATTATCTAACATGACACTTACAGCTTTTAAAATCTATCCCAAAATCAACATTTAAATGCTTTAATTTTACCATCACTCACCCGGCTATTGTGAAGAAGCATTATCCTCATCTTAAAATAACTTCAGATATTTTCTTGTGCAATAAAATTAAAACTGAGCACTCTCATCTCAAAAAAAAAAAAAAAAATCACCAAGATTACCAATTA